ACCTTTCTGCCTCTTCCTTCCTCCCCTCCCTCTTCGTAGGTGTCATACTGTCCTCAAATTCACCAGCTCTCAGACTTCAACTCACTGCGGTTTGATTTCTTTCTAACAATTACATGGCAACAGCCCTTATCAAGGTTACTACTTTCCCACTTCTCTGTAGTTTGAAACAAATGATTCAAAATGCTCTGCTTGATGGGGTAAAAGGGGTCAAATATGTGGTGACAAAAAGAAATCAAATATGGGCGGTGAACAGACAATGCAATATATATATGCTTTACAGTTGAACTGTACACTTGAAACTTACTGGATTTTGTTAAAATAAAAATAAATAATAAATAAATAAATAAATAAAGATTTGTAGGTCACCTCAAATATCAACTATAATTGAAAAATAAAAATAAAGGATTTGTAGGTCATGGCCAGGAGTCTGTACTGAGCACAAGTAATACTAAAAGTTTTAGGTGTGAGTAGATTTACATTCAAACTGCCACGTGAGGACAACTGGAGACCATCTGGAGGCAGGGGAGGCCAGGCAAGAAGCTGTGGCAGTCGACCCAGGAAGGGGGAAGAAGCTGAGAAGCAGCAGTAGCCATGTGACTTAGAGGGTTTTGATGCTGCTGGACCAGTGGTCAGACTGGGAAGAGGAGGGTTGTTTTTGTTTTTTTTTAACAGCAGCAAAAGAATAGCTTTATTGGGAGAGTAAAGCAACAGTACACTGCCAGGTGTGGAAGCGGGCCCGAGCAAGAGAAGGGTGGCTCAAGGACCTTGATATTCACTTAAAGGATCACACTATATATGGAAAATATAGTAACCAGAGTTGGGGGACAGACAAGGATATAAGCAGGGGGCCAAGTTAAATTATTGTAGTACCCAGAGGAGAGGCAGGTGACTTAGAGCATAGCAGTGGAAATGGTATTTGTGCAGTGACTACCCCTCATTTTTTGGCTGCATTTGGCTCCTTGTCTACTTTTTTCCGAGGCCCTGATCAACTGGGGAGCAGATGTGTTTGTGTCAATGTCCACCACCCCCACCAGCCCAGGAGCCCAAGGATGGGAGCCAGGCTTAGTTGAGCTCCAGCGCTGCTCAGCACAGGGTGGGTGTGGCCACGCTGAGCCTCCGAGGGTGAATCAATGAACCAGTGAAGGAATGGAGGAGAGCCATCCCCACTGCAGCCTTGCATCTGAAAGCACATGGATATCAGCAACCAGAAATGAGTGAGAAGGAGGAAGATGGGGTAGATGGCAGGTGGTTTTATGGAATGAATTGGGT